AATGGTGACTGGGCTGTTCCCATCTAATGCTGAAAGCACAGTAGGGTCCCACCAGGAACTCCATGCAAGGACAGCCCCATTTGCTAAGGATCAGCAATTCTTAAAGAGTGATACAGATCAGTGGTAGAGGTAATACTCACCTTGTGCTTCAAAAACGTGAGCCACATTTTTTCAAACACCTGCCTGTGTGCCTTAAAACAGAATTGCAAACAGGGAGTTAAACACACTGGTGTACATAAAGCTCTATTTTAAGCAGAAAAAAATTCAGTTCTAAAGCACCAAATAAACAGTTAGTTACCTGCAGCTTCGACATTTTTAATTCCTCACGGTTATCTAAGGGGAAAGGGGAAAAAAATATGTTGATTTTGAAATGGATCTTTAAAGAATTAAGATGACCCTTTTTTACTTAGCTCTTTGATACCCTAAAAATTTGGGCTGAAGTCCTTGTCTAGATAGAAGGCCATGATAGACTCCTCTGTAGACTGAGGAATGTGGATTTTTAACACTGTTTAGAATCACAACGATCACAGAACCAGACACTTCATTAGCAAACGATAATAAGGTCTTTACACATTAAAAATCTTAAATCTGATCTTCCTTTTCACACACAGTTCACCACGTGGAGCTACTAACCTTGCTTCACCATAAACTTCACCATGTCAGACTCTTTGTTTGGCATGTTAATGGGCGAAATGAGGGAAAATACATTCTGCTGGTAAAAGGGCAGCGGCCTCTGAGGAAAACAACAAACACATAAACACACATAAAGCAAGTTCCACAACGCATAGCAAGGTGCTGAGCTTCAGTATTGACCTGTTTGCAAGCACTGAATATATTTAGGAAAGAGAAAGGAAAAACACTGATCACTGAACTAAATACTGGTATATTCCCTGCTGCTGCCTTGTCCTGGAGCATTATTTCTCCAATACAAAACCTATCTCTGTACTAATTCTGGTTTAACAAAATGGTGGATCCAATTGAAGGAAACAAATTCTTCTGCACCAGAGAGAGAACAGAATTAAAAGTTCTGTGGATGTCACCCAAGCTGCAGAGATTTTGGGTAAAACAGAAGCTAGAGCCTAGACCAGAAGAATCTGCAAGAACAACAGTATGTGTCTTGAACTACTTCCCATTCCAGACTAAAGACAGTCTTGGCATACTGACATACTTAAGAAAAACAGTTTTAAAATCAATGCTTCAAATGGGCTCACTCATTTCTCTTGCTTCCAATGTCTTTCCATACACCACTGGTCTGTCCCTGCTTCACACACAATCCAGAGCAGTTTATCCAGACCCACCTCACCAGTAACAATTTGTTACCTCTTTTGTCTTCTGCATGACTTGTCCAATGCTGGCAGTGACTGCCTTCATGACAAAGTACCGAACGTCATCATACTCCATGTACTCTTGAAAGCGAGAGATCAGGAGTGAAGCATCCTCATTTATGGGAAGCAAACCATCAACAACTACCTAACAAAGGGTTTGGAAAGGAAAGCAACAAGTCAGTCTCTTACAGCAGTGGAGCAGACAATGAGCTGTGGGGGCAGAGGGCACATGAGGTCCTGTGCCATCAGGTAACTGACAGCAGGAACTTCTCAGGTCTGCAGCTTACCTTAAGAAGGTCGCAAGGAAAAGTTAATGTCCCCTTCCACTCTACTTTGATCAGTGGATATTGTCCCTCCAATTCAACAAACTTCATGAGGGTGCAGAGTGACAATTCCTTTTTAAAAAACATAAAAAATCCACTTCAACAAGGACACCAGTGGTCAAACCCAAAGGAGGCAACTTCTGAGGGATGAAGCATGAACTAAGATGTTATTTGCTGAGAAAGCTGCATGTCTGCTGCTGCCAGGCTGAAGAGCAGAGGTGAGCAGAGCACCAGTGATGTCTCACAGCACTGCCTGCCCTCCACAAGGAAACAGGGATTCTTTCTTAGGAACTGCAGTGATAGGACAAGGGGTAACAAATTCAAAATGAAGGAGGGGAAAGGTAGACGAGATATTAGGAAAGAGCGTTTTCCTGTGAGGGTGGTGAGACACTGGCACAGGTTGCCCAGGGAGGCCGTGGCTGCCCCAGCCCTGGCAGTGTTCAAAGCCATGTTTGAGAAAGCCTTGAGCAGCCTGGTGTGGTGGGAGGTGTCCCCGCCCAGGGCAGGGGTTGGGGCTGGATGACCTGTAAGGTCCATTCGAACCCCTAAAATTCTATGATTCTATGAACATCGGGTGATATTGCAAGGGATCCCCCCTGAGCCCACGTGTCCGCAGCAGGCTCAGGACCTACCTTGACCTGGAAGGAGTCGTGTCCCATCAGCTCCCCCAGGCACTCCACGCAGTCCTTGTAGCGATGTCTCATCCATATCCTGTACTTGTCCTCGGCGCTGTGG